TTATGTGGTAGTAAACCAAAGAATGAAGTTATGTTAGCTAAATTTGGTGCATTGGGGAAAATGTCAATATTTGCAAACACAAAGTTTTGCTTTAAATAGAAAAAATGGTGATAGGAACAGATGGTATGCTTTAAAAACACATGGAGATGGAGGGGAACCTTTTGAGTCTAATGTACGCATCTAATGTTCAGTTAGATACTGTTATTTCGTCATTAACCAAACTTTTTGATCCCACCATGTGTATCATACCAATAATGTCTGCATCACATAGAATTACCGTATCAGAATGCCAAATTCGTAGGTGACAATTATATGCTCCAGTCTTTAATCTATGAGCTTGGAGGGATTATAACTGTATTCATTAATAATGTTCTGCATCAATCATATAGAATTAACCTATATATAGTATCAGAAAGCATAAAATTACGTAAAGTACAATTTTATGCTCACAAGTTTTTATCTTGTAATTTAGCTTATAGTAGAGGATATTATAACTGAATAATTACTATTGAGAGAAAAAAAATATAGAGGTAAATATAATTGTGGTGTGTAATATATATCATATATATTAAATATATATATATACTATATAATAATATATTATTATATATATATATATATATAATATATTATATATATTATAAATATGTTTATATATAATATATGTATGTATTATATTAATACTTATATAATTAATAATATTCTATATTCATATTATAATTGTTATTAATATGTATATATATGATATTAGATATATATATATATATTAAATATATATATATATATATTATATATGCTCATATATATATGTAATATATATCATAATAATATTATTTAGGTGGCATATATATGCATACTAGTGGCATTTGTGGTTATTGTATAAATCACTGTATCAACACACACATAATACAAGCACTATGCTCACACACCAACATAAATCTCCACACACACACATCAATATATATATAATTACTAAACTCAAACACCACTATACAACATAACACACTAATAACACACACACATCAACCATGTACAATCAAATCAGCTACAACAACACATCATACAAGCTCACAAATCGCGGTATAAAACATAGTATATATGTATGTATATTGTATATATGTAATGTATATATGTATATATGTACTACACTATAACTCGATCAATACTAACACATACAATCAGTAACACACATATACGCAATATACAAAATAGTAACACTAATATATGTATATATGTTATTCGATACGTAATCGACTCATGATATATATATATGTATATGTATGTATGTATGTAATAATAATATAATGTATTAATATTATGTATATATAATAATGTATATATATATATATGTAATAATTATTAATATATATATATAATTAATATGTGTGTTGATGTGTGGTGTGTGATGTGATATGATGTGTGTGTATGGTGTGTGTGTGTGTGTGTGTGTGTGTGTGTAGTGGTGATGGTGTATGTCAGTGTGTATGTGTGTGTGTGATGTGTGTATATGTGTGATGTGTGATAGTGTATTAGTGTATAGTGAATATATGTGATGTGATCGGGTGTTGGTGCGTAGCGTATCGTCGCCGTGTGTGTGTAGTTATGTTGTGGTGTGTTTTAGCGTTATGCGACCGTTGGTGGTGGATATGGTGTGTGTGTGTTGGTGTGTGTGTTGTTAGTCGTGTGTTGTGTATGGTGTGTGTGTGACCGTGTTGTTCGCGTTGGGAAGTTGTCTTATAGGGTAGAGACTGTATAAATTAAGTAAATCTATAAGAGTGAATGAGAATGATAAATAAGTAGTGCATCTCACCATTAGGGTGATTCAAATATTCATTAAGCAACTAGTATTTTCTGTTTAGTTGATTTTTCACTATTATTAATGATCTAAAATATAATGTAGGTAAGTAAGTAGTGGTTATTGATGTGAGTTCTAGTTGAATTTAATACTGTATCACTGAATATATCGCTGAACTTAGTTGTAGGATATGATAATATATATTAGATTTAGGTATTCTTTAACATTACCTTGCCTTTACAAATTCACAGTTGTAACGGGGATGTGTAGATGTATGGATGTGTGGATGTAGCGTGATCACTATTACGATGTTAAACTCTTAGTATATTCAGTTACTGTTAATCACTCATGTATGAATATTTATAATATATATCAATACAGTGTGTAGCGATACTTGGTTGTGTTCGTGGCTTAGGCGTGTTGTGCTGTCGTGTCGCTGGTGTGTGCGGCTATAGTAGAGATGTGTGGTTTGTGTAGAGATAAGAGATGTGTTGTAATGTGATGGTGTTCTGCTATGTGTCTATGTGTTATGGAAATATAATATGATTGTTTAGACTTAGTGAACATCATATAATGAACAACTACCGGTTTATCTTTAATTTCATTAAACTTGATAGACTCAATGACTACTATAACTATTACATCTTCCACAGATTGCATTGTATGGCTATGAGACACACTAGGATCAATAAATGGAGGTGAATTTTGCGTGTGATCTCATGTTCCTTAATGGATGCAAGAAAAGGAGTTATATGCAAGTACCACATAATTTCATTGTATATATGATGGTCTTACTATCTAAAGTATGTGCTGGGAACAGATATAACTCAACTAGATGGTTGAGTCCATTTATTACAGCCACCTAGCTTATGCCAATTAATTATTATCATATATCAGATATAATACCAGCACCATTTAGCCATCCGCTCTACTATCCTATAAGTTTTACCCAATAAACTACATGGATTGTACGCTTACCTCTCAATAGAGGTTGTGGTTACCACTTAGCAGCAGTGTGGGGCAGGTGGGGGATGGAAGCCAAGTGCAAGGAAGGACCATTGCGGAGACGGTGAGGCAAGCTCAGCAATATCTTTAGTAGTTGTACATGTAGTCTAGGCTATCACAGGCCAGAAGATCTGTGATTCTCTCATGCAGCATTTGCATAGTGTCTAATTAATTACATGCCTAATAGTGGCATGGTAGACGTATATCACACAGGGACTATGTGATTAGGTATGTGGAGCGCTCACTGTTAGCATTATTAGCTTTCGTATAGTAATGATGGATATGTAACAAATCTAGCGAGAACTGATAAATCCTGAGGATCTGTAGACTGCAGGGTCAGTTAGAGCAATACATTCGACGAAGGGGATGCAACGAGTGTAGGTGGAACAATAGTTACACAGTAGTAGTCAACCTGACTTGAATTGGCAAGCATGATGCAATATAATAATGCCTTCTAGAGCCTCGGTAAATGCTCCAGCCCAGTCAATAGTGGACTTTGCATATAGTGGCTATTATACACCAGTGGAAGGTAACATATATACCAAAACCTTTCTTTTATTCCCAAAATATTAATAGATAACAATTTACCGACCTACTTATTTTTGTGCATGAACTTGATATATATAAATAATACTTCTTGGATTAGGAATAAAATCTTCAAATATTTTTTATCTGATACACCATATTATCGTTTTAATATATGTTAACTGGAAAAAGAAAAAAAAAAGCTGAAAGGAACTTTCATACACAGCTCTGATTAGAGATAATGTACAGTTTTTAAAAGATTAGAGAGTAACCTTATATATCTGTTAATTATAATATATAGTTTAGTTATCTTATAGTAAATTTATATAGTACTATACTATAACAGATTATATAATGATGGTTATTGTTCTACTAGTGATATACAAGAAATTAATAAGGTCATGACTCATATCTTGAGTGACATGTCTCTTAAGAGATATTCAACAGTACACAGAAATTTTTTATAAAACACACTCCCTGGTAATTGCAAATACACACTTAGCAGATTGTAAACTGTTTGCTACTACACATTCAAACATAACCAGATCAGGATGATCACTAATATAAGTACTAAATAAAGGGGATTGGACCTGCAAAACATCACAAACCTTGTAATTTCCCTTATCATTTTCACTCGTTAGACTCCATAGAGTTTTGCATCATTTGGTGGCTGCTTAACCCTTTAATTTATATGAATCCCTATAGAACAGATGCCAAGTCTGCCTACAAGGAATTATTATTGAGATGAGTGTATGTCAAATCGATAGCGATATCTGATTGTGTGTGATATGTCAATGTGGTTAGCGATGACAGGCTTCATGCAGGGAATTATGTAAACTTATGCAGCAAATTTATAAGCTCAGAATAGATAATAATAGGTATTTTTGTGCAATAACTAGGAAAAGAAAAGAGTTTGAAGTTAAATTTGATTTATTCTGTAAACGTATTGTGTGGATCATTTGGAATTATTATGTTGAATGAATTTAGAAGACGTCCTAACAGAATCCACATTTGTATTATTTTATGTTCAAAAGTGAGGCGTTATAATAATGCCTCAAACTGAGTACATATAATAGGTTAGGATTGGTAATTTTGAATTATCTCATATTATTATCATCATGATATTTTGAGAGATTCTTTAGATAAAAAAAAATATTATAATTTTTTTTTTTATCTAGTTTTTAATTATTCATTGGTTATTATCATTTATTTTCCCATCAGTACAATTCTTACCAATTGATAGTGATGATAGTGTGCTAGTGAGTGGATGATGTGTGTATGGATAGAGCGCTTAGGTCGTAGTGTTGGTAGAGAGCGTGTTGTCGCCTAGGTGTGTCTGTTGGGCTCGTTGGAGATGAATAGTCAAAGGTATTAATCAAATATTAATATACTTAAAATAAAAATGGGTACTCTATAGTTGCTTATGGGTACTGTAATAATTTAGTGATAAAGGATTTTCAAATATTGTTTTATTTATTCTTTTCCTTTTTTTTTATTTACCTTTTTCTAATCTAATTATTGTCACATATACTAGCTTTTTCAATATTTTTTTTTCTTTTTCTTTTTTTTTTTCCTTTTCTATCATTTGCACACAGCAGTTTAATAATGCTTGAAATGAATAAAGTAAGTTAGATCTTGACTTGTTATTGGTATGTAATTTTACAGTGAAATTTAT